AACATGATCAAAAGTGTCTGATTTCCCCGTTACACAGACAGAAGATAGAAAACAGAAGGCAAGTTACAGGAAAATATTTTCAATGCTACAGATTTTTTAAAAACAAGTCTGTGCTGGGGAAAACGATCAACACTTTGAACATTTGCTCAATTAATTAAAATTAGTTGAATTATTCAGAATTAATACTGTTCTATGTTTTTTTTGTTCTAAATAATTCAAACTCTGAATTGCAAAAGGGATCGTAAATAATTATTTCTACAGAAACTGTAGGTCTGACAAAAATTTTACAAGAGGCGAAAAAGTTTGAAACGGAAACCAGCTAGTGGCAGAAATAAGTTTCAATTATTTGTACCGGGAGTTACAAAAGTACGAACAATTACTAACGAATCAAGCGTCATGTTTAATATTTTCACGCATTAAAAAAATATCACGCTTAGGTCAAAACACGTCAATTTTTGTAGCAACACTGTTCATTAAAAAATTACTGAAAATAGATAAATGCGTTTAGAAATTATCTAAAAAAAACTATATTAATTTGAGAACTCTGGCGTCCTGTAGCGGAAAAATGCAGCAACATTGGATATTGGTAAGTTTTTCTCCATCGCTGTCTTATCTTCGGGTAAGGAATTTGTTAAGCGTTGTACTGTCCTTTCAGGGACACCCTGTATATTTAGTTTTTGTGTCGAAAATTTATACTTCATACTCTTCACTGCGTGCTATCAATGTGGGTGCTTAATTGAAAATTAATTCCAATAATTAAATTTAAAATAACAATTATCTGTATTGCATAGATTAGTATGATTTGCACTGTTAATTTATAACTGCATTTAATTGGACTACGGAACGCGGATCAGGACAATCAAGCAAACGGTTGGACTTTCCGAGAGAATTAATTATGAAGAGAATTAATAAAATGTAAAAACTATTTGGTACTTACCCTAAATTAAAATAGACACGAAAGCACAAACCCGTCTGTGGATTATACTACTGATTTCGAAATGCGAGGCTTACAACGTTACATAGGTCTCATATAATATAGTCTATTTTTGTTTTCCCAATGGAATTGATTAGATAAAGTGTTCCAGACATTTTCTAGGTATTATTCCACTTCTTGACAATTATTCCATTGGCCTTGAAAATTGAAGAATATATAGCAACAACAAACTCAACATAAGTGTTGAGACTGAAAACGATAATTAGACAGAGCTAGAAAAAAACACAGATAGCGCTACATAAAAATTTCCGACTTTTGAAAACTGGGCCAGAATTCTAGTAGCGCAGTAAATTGTTGTTTATGTCACTTATAAGTAGATACGGTGAATATGCAAAATATTAAGTGTTAAATATTCAAACATTCAATGCGCCATGTAAGGTGTTTTAGCAAACAAATTACGACGGGAAAAAATTCCTGGTAAATGGTTTTCTTCTGACATCGTAAGTTTCATACTACTTCACTTTGAAGAAGTAAGTGTTAAAGATTGTTTTGAGTTTTTCTAAATATGTTTTGAAACAATTCCGCATATTGAATAAGAGTTTGTTTCTAGTACTCTTTTTTAGGCGTAAAATTATTTGCTAATGATTCCTATGAGATACATGCGTCCCCATACACAGAAGGTAATATTGTAAAAGAAGTACAGCGCCTCATATCACTTACATGTGATCCTCGGCATAGCGAACAAAACGCATGCATTATTTTTATAAGTTGTGCTTTGAAAAGTTGATTTGCTAATTTTGTTGGTACTTGGTTGGGTCGATTAACCTGCTGAAACATGTTTTGTGTAAGTTTTGAGCTTGATAACTTAGAGCTTCGCGCCTCGGGAGTGTCCATTAATATACGAAAAGAATTATTTAAATTTTCGTTTCATTTTTTACGATTTATAAGTCGATTTTATAGTTCAGCCAGCGAACATTCATTATCAGTGTTACTTTCTACTTCCACTGTATTGTCTTGATCCCAAAGGTTGTTTGATCGTTCTGTACGGGTGCAATTTAGATGGTCAGAAATAAGGCCCACGTCAGATATTACGTCGGTCTCATTTCTTACATGCAACTATTGACGTCAAGCATTGATATAAAAAAACAATAACATTTATTTTCTTTAATTACATTCTTCATGTAGTCTAAATTTTCAGTGAATATTATGTTGGTTTGTCGCGTTGATACTAGAATATTGATAATTCTGAAGAAATTAATTCAAAAATGAAATCCTCAATCTGAATAATCCTCTTCTCTAAACAGTTAGCGGCAGGCGCAGGCTTAAAACATGATGTGGTTGGTTAAAGAAGCGACAATTTCAATATGAAGTGTCTTGGTATTAAAGCATTGGTATTTAGAGCTTATTTCCATTTTGTTCAGTATTAAAAACTGCCCTGCATAATCAATTCCAGCAACTTTGAAAAGTAGGTTTGATGCGGGAATCTGGTAGTTATTTACCACTTGTTCGGAAAGACTGCGAGGGGGCCAATATAATTGCATTACTGTTGAGACAAGTAAATGTGGTCCAAGATGGATTAAAATGTGTATTTCAAAGTCGTCCTCCGTCTCTTAAAATTCGTTCATTGCTTTGGGTAACATGTTTCACTCTGTGCCAGTTTAATTAACTGCATATTTGCCTTATTGAATTCTGTTCCAGTTGAACGACTTGTTTTTCTGGTTACTTTGTTCCTTTAATTGACTAAATTGCTACTCAATCTAATACATAGGGCTGCAACTCGGGTGAGCTTCATTAAACTTGAGTAGCTAGTAATTAGGGAATAATAAGAACATTCAATAACTGATAATATAACAAGAAGAAGGGATATAATTAAGGTATATATTATTTATATTTAAATAATAAACAAAAACGGGAGATAATTAAAGGACAGATTTGATTCCTCCACCAATGCACAAATGTGAAATGTTTCTGCCCGTTGTTTTTGGGCCAGCTTTATCAGACTGGTCGCCGTACTGATAGGGCCGACCAGTCAAGTTCTTTTAATTTTATTTTAATTGTTTTTGCTATAATTTTAATTTTAACTTTGGGATGTTTCTTGCAAGTTTGTTATGTGCTTGTATTGTGTCCAGTTTTATGCATTTTAGACCGTTTTAACCAGTTTTTGCCCAATTTCGACTGTTTTACGATTGTTTGACATGTTTTGTTCGGTGCTCTTGGGATGTTTGCCTCTGTTTTAACGAGTAAGTTTTGTTTTGCTTAGTTTCGGCTGCTCAATATCTTCCAGGGTACTTACAGTTACTTTTTGTTTTTAGCGGCCCTGATGAAAACGTAATTGTCGAAAGTGAATGGACTTATTTACTTAATTACATACACACTTCATTACATAAAACTTGTTTGATTGAACTGATAATATTTTAATGCACTTTTTCATTTCGGGTAAATTGTTTAATGGGGTAAATTGTCTTGTAGATGGCATTCAGAGGTAGATAGTTTGCGAAATTGTGGCCCTCTTCACCAAATTGAAGAATTTAAAATAGTATTCACAGTGGGAATTTCTCTCTCTCTCTTGGGTTCTGTTTTCTATTCCAGTAATCCCAGGAATCCAAATCGGTTTATTTTTGGACTATTGACGCTGGATGTGATACAAAACCTGCAACCGATCTGGTTCCGTCTTGATCCACCGTGACCCCTGATGTATATTGCACACTCGTGCACCAAGTAAGTAAGCGCACAACTTTCATGTAGAAATTGCGATTCTCTTTACTCGAGCAATTTTGCTTTTAGCACATAACAGATGCACTTCATAGGTATCGGTTAATAGATATCGGCTGCGTATGCCTCTTGAGATGCGTCTGTGAAACAATGAATGTCTGTGTTTGAGCACAAAGATAATGCTGGATCTAAAAATAGTTGTTAATAGGTACCACTTGTAAGGTTCCGCGGCTATCACGGTTCCAATGCGCTCAGGATGGCGAACTAAAGGACATTTTTCTAATGTCTTGTCGCCTAGAGTGCCTAAAAGATGTGATATAAAGAAACAAATTGATGTCAAAGCAAAGCAAAGTTCGCATCTACAAACATTCATCAGGTCCATACGTCAGAGAAACATCAGCAGAAACAGGACCAAATCAATAACTAGAACAGCGGATATGAAAGTCCTAAGAGCAATACGAGGAGAAACGCTGGAGAATAGAATGCAGAGCGACATTATAAGAGAGGAACCTGAGGTTCAGGACATAGTGAGGCGGCTAAGAGAAAGAAGACGATGCTGGGAGGGATAGTAGCAAGTTGGGCACAAACACAAAAACCCAACGCGTCCCGACCACCTGGGAGACCGCTAGAAAATGGTGAGAGCTGGACGTTCGGATCACAGGAGGCATAAGTTGCAGAATACACAGGAGATATACCTATTACAAAGGAAGAAGATAATAGATAATTATTCTGAATCTTCAGCCTGAATTAAGGCTTAACCAATAATGAAGCGTTTGTAACAACTGGCTATGCTTACGATATCTACAGGTTGTGTCGCGATGAGGATTAGCTGATCTCCTAAAAATCACGATTAATTTGAGCTTTTTTGATTTGATTAATGTTTTCTAACTAAAGAATAAGTGGTAGAAAGAAAATAAAACACAAAATATTATCGGGTTTAAAATCTGTTGTTACCAAATGAAACATCTTTAGGAAACAAACAAAAAAGTATAGGACCTCTGGAGCATATTTTTTGGGGAAGGCATAGTAAAAACACATAATTCTTGTAGCAATATCGTAGTACCCGAAACGCTCGAAACATTCTAAAACAAATCAAACACTGTTTGACACTTTTTTGTTTAACATAAAGTTGTTATTCTCGAGTTCAAAAGTTTAGACGCTCCCTGGCGGATGAAACTATAACAAAAAGTAAAGTAGTAATTTGACACATGTTTTACTGACATTGGTGTCACATTGGTGTTTACATGTGATTGTGATTTGTTTTGTTCTCATCAACTTTTGCAAGCTTTTAAATAAATAGAAACAGATCGAAAAGGATGTTATGTTATAAATGTCATCAACTCCTAGAAATAGAGAAGTCTTAACTGTCACTCGACAACGAGTAATTTGACGTTTCCCAGAGCCACCATCGGTAGTTGAACTGGCAAATAATAAAAAGTTATTGAATATAATCTAAATAAAATTATTTTACAAGCTTCCAAAACATATTTTCATACACAAATAGCACCCATCAAAACCAACAGTATTGATTTGTTTTCTTCAATCAACTTAATTGCTTCTAAGTCGTTTCAGTCCAAACCAAAAACCACCCTCTGCTGAAGGATTGAATGATTTGGTACATATTTTTAAAGGAACTGTAGTTGTTTTAGTTGGTTCTATTTCAAAGTTCAGCAGCAAATGATAGAATAAAGCCTTAATTTCTAAAAGCGCAAATCTTGATCCAATACAGTTTCTAGGACCAGCGCCGAAAGGCAGATATGTGTACGGTTTGATACTGCTCTTGTTCTCATCTGAAAACCTTTCGGGGTCGAGTTTTGTAGGGTTTTCAAAATTTTCCGGATCTCTATGAAATGCAAAAATTGGAATCCAAATGACATCTCCAATTTTTAAATTGATTGGTGTTTCATCGGCATTCACTGGTTCAATAGTGTACGGTTTAGTAACAACTCTATCAACTGCCCCTGCAGGAGGCCACTTTCGCAAAATCTCTAAAAATTTAAAAATATTCCAGTAACAAATCTTTCATCTTTTTTTTATGTTGATATACCAATAAGTAAATATTCGGAATTAATTATGAATGTTATGGAATGCAATGATAGAAACTCATAAGGAACCCGAGAATGATCGGCAAATATTAGGTCGAACTCGTTACACAAAACATTTTACACAAGGGAAAATTTGTTTTAATATGGCTCTGTAAATTAAACAAATTCTGGAATATTTACCGGATATCACCTTATCCATATAGTTCATTTTCAGCAAAGAGTCATAGGTTACTTTGCCACCATTTAACCTGTGTGCTTCAACTATTTCACTTCTTAGTTTATTTTGTATTTCTTTGTCAACTGCCAGTTCATATGAACCAAAACACATAGCAGTTGAAATAGTATCAAACCCAGCAAAAAAGAAAATCATTGCTTGGGAAGCTATATCAGTATCTGTTAAATTAATTAACTGTCGCCCTTTACCTACAAATAATTTCAGTTTAAACACACACAAATATGTTATTTAGATCACTGAAAATAGATGTGCATATACAGGGTGTCCCAGCGGGAACCGCCGCGATCGATATATGGCAAACTAATTAGGAGCAATTTTTAAATTGGACGGTGTACCGAAGTCATTGGGGGCATGCGGTTTAAAATGTTTTCAATATGGCCACAATTTCGGTTATACCGGAAGTAGATATTGTAACGAAAGTTACCTACTAAAATTTTCTTTCTGTCTGGTTAATTTAAGCCGGCAGGTGAATATATATATAGGACATTTAATTACTTATTAATAGAATTTTACAATTGTAATGATATCTCGCACGTACACCACGAAATTCCGAGAATGATCTACCAAAAAGGGCTTCTACTAGCAGTGGATGTCCAAGTGGGAGAGGTGAGAAAGGTTATAGAGACGCACAGTCCATTTCCCTACCGGCCCCACCGATTTCTTTCCGCGGATATTCATCCGCACCGATACCGAAAGCAAGCAGCACTCCGAAAAATTCCAGCCCGTATTAACACCACGAGTTGCCCGACTCGCAGTAAATAAGGGACAGTGCCCATATTCGTAGACCATGACTATGTCATCCGGTTTCCAGTATACGAAGCCATAGGACTCATTGATGTGACGACATCTCTTTATTAAGAAACCGGTGCAAGTTACAATTTCTGGTTGATTTTCAATCTGTCATGTTTCCCCATCATTCCAAGCCCATTCAGCGATGTTTCGCACTGCCTGCGGTAATATAAAACACCATGTTTACCATCGATGGTGGTCATTCTGGTCTCCTCACGCTTCCGGCCATTTCGTCAGGCATGGGTTCAGAATTTCCACCAGATTCTCAGATCATCGTTACTCCGGGAACTCAGCGTGTGTGTTACCCCTGGTAGCCATCCTGGTCTTGTGCTTCCTGCCATTTCGCCAGACCTGGACTCACAGTTTCCTCCTGGTTTACAAATACCCGCTGTTTCTGAGAGGGCGACGTGTTTTGAGACCGTAGGCTGAGCACAGAATGGCTGCCGGTTTTCAGATCGCGGTTGTCCCTGAACTTAAGCGCCTTTTTCGACGTACGACTTGATTTCCTGCTGATATTAAGATCTTATTGTTTGAGTCATGTTAAGCCAGTTGATGCAAGAGAAGTTTTCCTGTCCGTACGACGTGCCCATTCCGATAGAACGCAAAATAGAATGCAAATTAACTGCCAATAACTGTTTTTCACAAAACAAATTATATTATTATATTTATTATAAGAAAACTGTTGAGCTTTAAGAGATTTTTGAATATCGCAGCATGTATGGTTTTCTGAAGGAAGAAGTATATGTGGTTTCCTTTTAATAGGCCTTTTACAGCCTAAGTTCAAATAAAGATCAATCAGTAAGCATGTTTCGGGTAGGTATTCAAATGTTTGAAAGCTAAGTATAAACGGTATTTTAGTACAAACGTTACAAAAGTTGATGGGCCATAAAATAATTTCCATCGTATTTCATGTACGAGTTTAGACGACACAAATTGAGATCAATTATATTTATTAATATATTTTTGATGAAGATCAGCAAAAATTAAAATCAGTTTGGCTTTTAGTATCTTCAATCAAACTGCATACATAGTGAGATTTATTTAGTAATGTAACTTAACACTGCCAGCCTGCCAGATGACTGGGCGTGCTGTACATAAGTCCCGCTCCCAAAAAAGAAAAAAATCGAGACGATGTGAAGACTACAGGACCTTTTGAGTTTTGTGTGCTCTATGAGCCACGCAGCAAGTATATGTGGGAAACATCTCCAACCGCATACGCACTAAATGCCACATCTATGTATTTATAAGATAAGAAGATTTAGAAGGAGCATAGGAACATGCGAAGCCATGCTAGGATTAACCATGATACTGAAACTAAGAGGATTAACCCATGATACTGTTAGTTATAGTATCATGGGATAAACCATACGCCAGTAAGGATTATTGAAAGTAAAGAGAAATATGTTCGTCTGCTGTGTGCACTATAAAAAGGCCTACGGCCGCATTCAACACGAGAAGTTAATACAGACTTTGCAAGACATAGGATTAGACAGTCACGACATATCGATAGTCCGCCATACATATTGGAACCATCGGGGGTTAATTCGAGCAACAAATACATTAATAAATAAATATAGATATAAAATATAGACTATGTGTATTAAAGTGATACATACCAGACTGTGTATATTCTTTGACAGTAGCAAAACCTGTTTCAATAGCATCAGAATGTTCATGTTGAATTCCTTTTCTTGCTTCTAATAATAAATGTAACATGTCCTGTCTAACGATTCCTGTTTCTTCTCGAACTTGAATGGTCTCTTTAATAGTTTTATAGAAAAAAGATGATATTTCTTTGTCAAATAGACCAATTCTCAAAAACTGAAACATAATGTAGATAAAGAAGAAGATGAAAATTATGGGATTTAATCAAACTTCCGTAGTGAATTATTGCTGGATTAGGACAATTCCAAATTCTAGCTTTTAGGCATCTGCTATTCAGTTTTTAGGATAACTCCGCATATGTTCTACTGTTACGATATTTTTTATTAAAACTTTTTAATGTTCGACTAAACGACATTTTTACTTGATTGATGTCGATAAGCCAGCCAGTTTTGGGAATATTTCCGAATTAATCAATCAACCAATTGGTAATTTTAATTTAATAATTTAATTTAAATGTACTGAGGTCCCATTCATTTAATTCATTATGTATTCACTACGGAGGATTTTTTTAAAGGTATCTGAGCGATTCAGTTTCCTGCTTAGAATCAGAACCTTTTAAGTCATACATTTATCAAAAATTTAGAAAAACAATCAAAGTTACGAGCCAGCCAATAAACTGAGGCAAATTATCAGCTGCCTAACAAACGTCCGTTCAGGAATTTACCATCACGTAATGCATAACGATTGCACGAAAAAACAATTAAAAAATCAATATGGAAATAAAATCCAGGACGCCTACACAAGAATCTAAATGGAAGTTAATAAGAAAATTAATGTAAACTACTTTGCATACCATGAAAACGGTTTGCTGAAAAATAACTAAACAGCAGAACTTGCATAGCGCCTTCTAGTGGGTACTTCTAATGTCCCGCCACTTAAAAACTGCAATTGAAATTACGGAACTAATTTGAAACTCAAATAGGAGCCTTAACACCATGCATTATAACAATAGGGAAATGTTTCACTAGGGCGTGTTTGAGTAAATCCAACTAAATATGGACATTTCGAATCTGCAGTTACAGTATGTACTTATCAAAGATTAGTCTGTATTCTGAAGAAGTGAATTGAAATAAAGTTGCTAAAGTAATTGAAATTTGACTGGAAGCAAAATAAACGTTTTTAAAGCTGATTATTCACCTTGGTCAGTTTAGGCACCATCAGGAATGCGAAAAATCGCAAGCGTCTGGACAGAGAAGAAAAATCTGTTGTCCGCTTTCCCATTAAATAGAAATCGTTGTTTGGATATTTGAGCGAATCTACTTCGATGCCGAAAGCTGTTGTGGCAATTATATCGTTTGTAAATCTGAAATTGTTATTAGCGAAAATTTGGAACCTCATCTGTTGTTCAAATTCCGAGCACTTCTTAGAAAGATACTGTAATTTTCTACCTGGTAAACGTATTCTTCATTTCTACCTCAATAAGTTCTTCATTTTTGCTTAAAAAAAAATTAACAAAATTTTCAGCAGCACCGTTCATGAGATGGAACATATTTTTCATTTTGCTGCTCGTAAATGAACCACTCAGAGTAGCTCTCATCTCTTTCCATTTTTGACCTGAAAAACATAAAAAAATACTATATGATTTTTATTTTTGGTGCAGCTGAACCTGTCAAAGCAAATAAGTTTCCAGCCCATAATGGATCCACGTCAGCATCTACGAATGAACGATGATCACTGAAGTGGTCGAAATCTTTGACAGTTATCTGCTTAATTAGCTCGGGATCCTTAATAATTAGAGTGGGTATACTAAACTGATAAAAACCAGAATATCTGTAAAGATATAATCAAAGTTACACAGATATGTGCAAAACGATCTAGATCTGGGTGTTTTTTAAGAGGTATATATTTCAAACTGAAATAAAACTCACTAAAATTATGTTAACGTAATTGGTGCTGGATTTATTGAAAAGGCTACTTTATGCTATTATAGCTTAACAATTATTTTGGGTATAATGCGCCGCGCCGCTGGCTCCAATGAAGAGCAATCTAAAAGTCTAATCAACGACAACTTCCAAACATCTTCTAGACCATAAATCACAAAAAACAGTGAGTTTTTCTAGATATAACGGGGTTTCAGTAAAGGCTTTCGGTTTGGATATTCGGTTTCGGTATTGGATTTTCGTGGCTCCAAATTCGGTAATTTTCTTAATGGACATAACCATTGAGCCAAAAACGATTATGTCTACCGTAAAATAAACGTAGCGCAAGGTGAGTTTGGCGAACTGACTAGCGATTTTCTAAATAAATTGCCGAGTTTGGATCAAAATCATCAGAAATTTCCAAAATCCAAAAGCCATTATTGAGACAACGTTATATCCAGAATAACTTCTTTTTATGGTCTAGTGCAGCGGTTCTCAAACTTTTTTGGTGACGGAACCTTTTGAAAGAAATAATTTTTTAACGGAGGCCTAAACCCTAACTAAACTAAAAGCAAAACGAGTTATATGTGTATTGTTTATTAACAAGCATACAAAAAAAAGTTTTTTAGAATGAAATCAAAATTGGTAGCCAGACATAATCGGTTGCTGCAAGTCTATATGCAGTTCTTTTTAAAATGGCTACGCTTCTGGAAACATAGAAAATCGACGATATCTTGGCTTTTTTTTAATGGAAAGCCCTATTTTGATTTCATATTTGTATTCAGCATTAAATTTTGAGGTTAAAACGTCCACTTGTCAACACTTATCTGTTATACGGCCATTTGCACCAGTCTTCTTTAAAATTTATTCTTAGCTAGGGATAACTTTGGATTAACGTTAACCCTAACTACAGACAGCTTTGCACGGCTGTCAATTAAGTGATACTTAGCTAAGGTGAAGTTTTACCTGGCAACATTGCTAAAAGTGACAAATTGGCTTTTGCTCCCGGCCTTTTCTTTCCAAAATAAC